GGGTGGGAGGTTGAGGCAAATCGCCTGGATGCTGGTTACGCGCAGCCAGATACCAGGGCGGTTAGAAGAGCACAGGAGGGCACGGTACGCATCAGAGAAGCTTTGAAAACCAGTTTCATGACTGGCCAGGCTACGGTGTGAAAGTTCTGTTTGTTTCTCCTTGATGAAACCCCCGCCCCTTGGTTCACTCTACTTCCCTGTAAGCTAACCACCCGCCCCTCCTCCCTTCAATGACCGCTTGCAGAGGCAATAAAGTCATTGTTGCTTCACATTCATGCATTCTTTATTCATTCATCACACAAATAGGGGGATGACTACCAAGGTAGCCCAGGAGGGGTGGTGGAGGAGGGAAGGAAAATGCCACACAGCACTTTAAGCACAGCACTTTAAAAGTTTACAACTTTAAAATTTATTGAATGACAGCCTTCTTTTTTTTTGGGCAATCCTCTGTGGTGGAGTGGCTGGTTGGCCGGAGGCCCCCACTGCGTTCTTGGGCGTCTGGGTGTGGAGGCTATGGAACTTGGGGAGGAGGGCGGTTGGTTACAGAGGGGCTGCAGTAGCAGTCTGTGCTCCAGCTGCCTTTGCTGCAGCTCAACCATACACTGGAGCATACTGGTTTGGTCCTGCAGCAGCCTCAGCATTGAATCCTGCCTCCTCTCATCACGCTGCCGCCACATTTGAGCTTCAGCCCTGTCTTCAGCCCGCCACTTACTCTCTTCAGCCCGCCACTTACTCTCTTCAGCCCGCCACCTCTCCTCCCGGTCATTTTGTGCTTTCCTGCACTCTGACATTATTTGCCTCCACGCATTCGTCTGTGCTCTGTCAGTGTGGGAGGACAGCATGAGCTCGGAGAATATTTCATCGCGAGAAGATCCTGTGATCATTGAAACACATGCAGCTGGTGGAGAAAAAAAAAGGGACAGCGGTATTTAAAAAGACACATTTTATAAAACAGTGGCTACACTCTTTCAGGGTAAACCTTGCTGTTAACATTACATACATAGCACATGTGCTTTCGTTACAAGGTCGCATTTTGCCTCCTCCCACCGCGTGACTGCCCCCCTCAACCTTCCCCCCTCCCTGTGGCTAACAGCGGGGAACATTTCTGTTTAGCCACAGGCAAAGAGCCCAGCAGGAATGGGCTCCTCTGAGTGTCCCCTAAAGAAAAGCACTCTATTTCAACCAGGTGACCATGAATTAGATCTCACTCTCCTGAGGATAACACAGAGAGATAAAGAACGGATGTTGTTTGAATGCCAGCAAACATACACTGCAATGCTTTGTTCTACAATGATTCCCGAGTACGTGTTACTGCCCTGGAGTGGTAAAGTGTCCTACCATGAAGGACGCAATAAGGCTGCCCTCCCCAGAAACCTTTTGCAAAGGCTTTAGGACTACATCTAGGAGAACCGCAAATGCCAGGGCAAAGTAATCCTTTCACATGCTTGCTTTTAAACCATGTATAGTATTTTAAAAGGTACACTCACCAGAGGTCCCTTCTCCGCCTGCTGGGTCCAGGAGGCAGCCTTGGGTGGGTTCGGTGGGTACTGGCTCCAGGTCTAGGGTGAGAAACAGTTCCTGGCTGTCGGGAAAACCGGTTTCTCCGCTTGCTTGCTGTGAGCTATCTACAACCTCCTCCTCCTCATCATCATCTTCTTCGTCCCCAAAACCTGCTTCCATATTGCCTCCATCTCCATTGAAGGAGTCAAACAACACGGCTGGGGTAGTGGTGGCTGAACCCCCTAAAATGGCATGCAGCTCATCATAGAAGCGGCATGTTTGGGGCTCTGACCCAGAGCGGCTGTTCGCCTCTCTGGTTTTCTGGTAGGCTTGCCTCAGCTCCTTCAGTTTCACGCGGCACTGCTTCGGGTCCCTGTTATGGCCTCTGTCCTTCATGCCCTGGGAGATTTTCACAAAGGTTTTGGCATTTCGAAAACTGGAACGGAGTTTTGATAGCACGGATTCCTCTCCCCAAACAGCGATCAGATCCCGTACCTCCCGTTCGGTCCATGCTGGAGCTCTTTTGCGATTCTGGGACTCCATCATGGTCACCTGTGCTGATGAGCTCTGCATGGTCACCTGCAGCTTGCCACGCTGGCCAAACAGGAAATGAGATTCAAAAGTTCGTGGTTCTTTTCCTGTCTACCTGGCCAGTGCATCTGAGTTGAGAGTGCTGTCCAGAGCGGTTATAATGGAGCACTCTGGGATAGCTCCCAGAGGCCAATACCATCGAATTGTGTCCACGGTACCCCAAATTCGAGCCGGCAACGTCGATTTAAGCGCTAATCCACTTGTCAGGGGTGGAGTAAGGAAATCGATTTTAAGAGCCCTTTAAGTCCAAATAAAGGGCTTCATTGTGTGGACGGGTGCAGGTTTACATCGATTTAACGCTGCTAAATTCGACCTAAAGTCCTAGTGTAGACCAGGGCTTAGAGATATGGTTTGAAAAACAATGCTCTAAACTTGAAGAGTATATCAATAATAAAAATAGCAAACGAGTCTTCCAGGTTGTAAAAGTTATGATGAAGGAAAGATGGACCAAAGCTAATGCAATTCAAGACAAAGAAGGGAACAGTCTTACAGCAGAAAGGGACATCATCCATAAGTACCGACTCCAGGGGTGCTCCAAGGCTGGAGCATCCAGGGGAAAAATTGGTGGGTGCTCTGTACCCACTGGCAGCCAAGCTCCACTGAAATGCATATTGTTTGCTAAAATGCATATTATTCTATTTTCTGCCATCTCCTTCCCCTGCTGTCTCGAGGACCAAGTTTACTACTACTAAACAGGCCTTTGTTTAGAATAGTTTTGAACATGTGTGTTTTGAACATGTGCCAATAATATTATACAGGGGGATTTCCTAACTTCACATATTATGTTACTACATACATTTCATAATGATATTATTGGCTAGTGAGTTATTCGTTTTCAAATTATACCACCTAAGGCACATTTTGTACAAACATTATTGCAATAGTTTGTAGGGTGTGAATATAGGGCTGCTTAGTGTCACAAAGTGTTTCAGTGCTCAGTGTTGCAATGTTATGCCCAACTCCCTGACTCCCAGTGCAATTCACAGCCCTCAGTTAAGTGCCCAGACTCGCCATGCATTGTAGGGAGAGAGTTAGTCTTTTAAGAAAGACTCACAGAAGACAGCAAGCTGTCTAGGGAGCTGCCTAATATAGCCAGGAGGAGAGAAATGCAAAGGACAGGGGAAGGGCTTAGGGGGCAGATCCATAAAAGGGAATTTGGCGCCTAACAGATAGACCTCAGTGAGGCACTTCCCACCAATTAGAATTCTCGGCCAGTGAAGACCAGCCCTGTGTTTCCTGCCACTTTCAGCAGTTTCTTTAATGCCCTGTCCCTCAGAGTCTGCGATGTGTAGTTCTTGTCAGCTTCATATGCCTCAGGCTGTTGTATTAATTTAGATGGAATAAATGGGCCCAAAGAGTCAAAAGTGTTAACGTGACCCTGTCACATCCAACATTAAACAGTGTTGTACCAAGTTTGGGGTTTGGTATACCATGAGCTCAGCCTGCTTAGTACCATGGTGAACACACCATTAAAAATCTTTAAACCTTTTATTAAAGATGCAGTTAAAGCATTTGAAATGTAGAATATTAAGTAAGGCTTTCATTTTACCAATATCTCTTGTTCCCATTTCCTCTAGCTGGAGAAAGTCTAGAAGGAAAAAAACCCTTGTTTGACAGTCTCTTAGATGATGATCATTGTCCTCTTTGGGGAGCAGAGAAGAAGTTAGTTGGGATGGGCTGGAGCTGTTGTTAAAGTCTGATTCTGTTTATCAGGATGGCAAAAGCTCAATGGTGTCATAGTGGATCCAAGAAGATGATTGCGGGTGGCAGCCATGATGGTAAAGCTTGTTCCTTTTGTTGCCGGCACCCAGTGCCAAGAGGCTAAACAACAGCTGGAGTTGGTTCGCTACCCGGTGTGCTACACCCAATAATCACAATGGGGTGGAGAAGCAGAAAAGTTTATTTGCAGCTGCAAAAAGGTACAGGGAGAATAAAATCTCAAATCCTGCACACAAAGCAGGAAGTTACACAGGCTTTTATACATCCTTTTTCCCAGCATACTTATCCAATAGCAAGCTGCCCTAAGTATCCATATAGCCAGCCAATCCAGTTCCCAGCTAGTGCCCTTGTGCTCTGTATCATTTCTTAAACCGTACATAAAGCTGCTTTATTCAGCATTGTTCTTCCGTATCCGCCATGTTTGGCCTTGCTTAGTTTCAGGCAGTCTGACTCTGCAACATATTGTTGCAGATCCTCAGCATAACTGCTGTGAGTGCCTCCAGGCGGGGGGGCCAAGGACACTTGGGCCTAATACGCAGAGCTGCTGCGAGTGCCTCCAGGCGGGGGGGGGTCGGGGGAGGGGCCAAGGACACTTGGGCCTAGTGCGAGGGGGCTTCATGGACACTTGTGGTCTTCCATCCCCTCGAGTTACCTAGTGGCCATGCCTCAGTGTCCCCAACACTTTCCTGTTCACCTGTCTTTCAGTCAGAGGTTGTTGGGAGACAGCTGCTTCTTTATTTTTTTCCCCTCAAGGGTCTTTTCTTTTAAGGACCTCCAAAGGGAGTGATGAGCGTAATAGCCTGTCCCCTCACTATATTGTTCGCCAGTTTAGACCTAATTTCTGACACACCAATTTTGATTCATTGATGTCCTGTGGCACACACTTCATATTAATCAGACCTGATCTTAACACAGTTCTTGAGTTACATTAGTAGGCCTTCTTGTTTGGACTAATTCAGTCTCTCTCTCTCTTGCAGCTTTTCCCATCGGTGTTTATTTATTATAGGTTATTGTGACATTTTTATGAACTTTCACTCACTCCTTACAGTTAAGCTCGCAATTAGGTTAAATTTGTTGTTTGGATGATCACAAGAAGGCTCCATTGAGGACTACAATTCCCAGAAGGCATTGCACCACCCTTTGCTTGCTCCGCTTGTGATTCAGTGCCTCAGGAGTGGGGGGACCTGCCCAAAGTGTGGGAGGAAGGCTGCCTGGAGGAGCTGTCCAAGGGCGAGAGAGAGGCTGTCTGGGGGAGCTGTCCCTAGGAGGCTGAGGACTGGAGAAGGAGGCATGAAGGAGGGAGGTGACATTTCTGACAGTGACAGTGATGAGACAGTAGTGGAGGGCTCAGTAACTGAGAGTGACCTAGACGAAGAGGAGCTGCACATGAAGAGGTGATAAATATATATGTATAGGAGCAGGTGTGACTAAAAAATGAGTGTCAATACATTTCTGGGACATATGTGATGAGTTGAATGCTGCATCCATGCCATTTAAGGCTATCACCTTTGAAAACAAAAAACACAAAGAACAGTCCTATGAGACTGGAATCTACCTCATATAAACCTGACTAAAATCTTAGAGGATAAAATGGTTTTAGAATAGCCTTCCTAGATTCTTTGATAAATATCTATTTTAAGACTTTTTGTGACAGGTTGAAGCGTGAGGGGGAAAAATCTCCATATGCTATTCCATGGACCCTTATACGGAATAGGTTTCAGAGTGGTAGCCGTGTTAGTCTGTATCAGCAAAAAAAACGAGGAGTATTTGTGCCCTAAGTTAAGCTTATGCCCAAATAAATTTGTTAGTTTCTAAGGTGCCACAAGTACTCCTCGTTTTGTTTGTTTGTTTGTTTGTTTGTTTGTTGCTTATGTGCAATAGTAGCTTACTCCAGAAATAGTCCCATTGGTTTTTGTGGGACTACCTGAGAAATAATGTATTACTAAATGGGATAAAGGTATCAGAATCCAGCCCAAAGAAAATAAAATCAATGATAAAAACATTGGTAAAATTAAAATACTGCAAATGTGGACGTTTCTTTTATGTTTTAATTTCAGAACTCTCTTGATGATCTCATTCAAACTGATACTTTGGTTACTGGGAAATTAAACCCACTGAACAACATTACCCTTACTGTGTATTTCCTAAGAAATGTTGACTAAAAATTTTTGGAAATTTGTAAAAACAAAGATGTATTCATGACTCACATCCTTCTATGCCAATTTGCAGCTTGATGCAGATTTTTACAACCAGGTTCTAAACTTTTGAAAAATAGTGTTTACCTTAAAAATGCTCTTACATAGTTACAGTGGTATTTAATGAGTGATATTATAGGGAATGGAGTTAGAAATATAGGCTTTGGTTAATATTTTGTTGCCTGTGTTTGTACCTCTGGTAAGAGGATGATAGAACAATTCGTAGTTTTTTGTTTTTTTTTAAAGGTTATCTTTTGTTAATAAGGACATATCTCTAACAACTGAAACCATCTTTGCTGATGAAATAAGAAGAGTAAATGGAGGTAAGAAATTGTTCTTTTTTCAGTAGAAAATATATGTTGTTTTTCCTGAGACCTTTATTTCTTTGACTCTTTCTTAATTTTTAGGCTAAAAATTAAGCCTAGAACAGTTTTGTACAGTATTTTTAAGCAGAATAATTTTGTATCTCTAATAAAAATCTGAATAAAAGTTAGAGGCTTAATCTTTCAGGCCAAATTTTTCATAAATTTTAAATAAATACATTTAAAACATAAATTTGTTAGTGCTTATTTTCCTTCATTCTGCCTGTATGTTGTTACTAAGGGTACCTAGTTTAAGAAGAGTAGGGGTATGAATTTATTTTTTGTTAACTCTAAAGGTTTCTACAATAGTTCCTCAAAGTAAGGGGAATAAACAAGTATTTGATGGTGTGGCATAAAATTTCATTGGGACCTGTCTGGGTTGCCTTCCGTAATTCAGCCTCACTTAATCACTTTTAAGTAATTTGGTAATCCCATACTCATGTCAATAAAAACTTGACTGGCAAAGCAGAATTCTACTGTCTACCTTGCAAGTGTTTGAGCTGTTCCAAACGCAAAATACTCGTGTGAAGAACTCTACTCTAGCATCTTGTTTGTTTCTGGGTCCAAAACATGGCATTTTTGCCTATTTTTAAGCCCCCCTTGCATGGTTTGAAATCTGTCCCCTTGAGAGATTACTTCTCACTTTATATCTACTCATAGTAGGTAAGGGTCTGATTCCAAACCCCATTAAAGTTCCATGGGAGTCTTTCTAAATGGCTAGGAGTTTCTTGGTGTCAGTTACTGGAGCTGAATTATCTGAGGTCTGGTGATAGAGTTTTGTCAGCAGAGAGGATCCTCACCCGTGGAACTTGTTCCTCCTGGTCATCCACTGGAATTAGAGCTTCAGAGTACAAAGCTTCTGTTTGGCTCATTGTTAAGCTTTTGGTTTGTAGGAGTGAGACTTTGTCTGCATGCTTTTTTGTTGTCCCTGTAAATGTGATTTGCATATTTGCATTGATGGCATTTCTATTCATCCCACTGTAATTAGCATGTTATTATTTGTGCTAATTTTTATCACATCAATTTCATGACAAGAAAACATGGGCTATAGTCAATCTAAATTAATACAATAATCAACAAAATAATGTGGATACCAGTGTTGTGATTTTTACAGCATAAGGGATCAAATTAAACAGAGCAGCACTCTATATTACTGTAGAGCTGGGTTTTTCTCAGTATGATCATTCAGTAATTTTAATCTTCTCATCTCAGTTTGATAATTAATGTGTAAAGATGAGTACTAAAGTTTATTACGTGCATCAGGACACTGACTATAATTCCAGTTGTCAGGAAAAAAAACTATTGTCAGAAATGAATCGCACTGTCTGATGTGTAGCCCATGTTTCCAAAATATTGTCTGCAAAAGAAATAATAATTTTTCCCTAAATTGTTTTCTTTTCAGTTCTTGCATCTGCCATATTATGTTTTTCAGAATCTAGGCTGAGAGACGTGACCAGTGTGAAGGTGTGATTTGTCCAATTATTTTTTCTGGCAGTTGGAATTTGCAGAAATTCCTTGAGTCTGTGTTACAGTAGCACAACAGAAATGGCTTTAACTACCTATTTTTGTGTTTAGTTTTAGAAAACCTCTCTCCAGAGATTCAGCTTGTCTGTAAATTGAGTGATAATCTAGAAAATATGAAGCAAAAGAACCAGATAAATCCGGTATGTATAGAAATTACAGCTCCTCAGCTACACACATACTGCAATTGATAATTATTAGATTCACTGTGTCTGACTGTGCCCCTCCCGCTTCTATTTGTGGAAAGAGCCAGAGTGTATGTAACTGAAAAGGGTTTTATGGAAGGAGGAAATCCTGCAGTATATACTCAGCCCAGGAACGCACAGAAGAGTCTCCTCTGGAGTTTCATGGGGGTGTGCCTTGCTACGGTTTCAGGAGCAGGGCTGCAATTAGCCTGTAAAATTACCGGATGTTCAAATTGGTAACCAGTTTTTCCCACCTGCAGATGACAGGCTGACAGAATGAGTAGGAGGAAACTATAGATTGTTACCGTGTAGATTCCTGTGCTGTATATGAATTTCTTTAGACTTAAATAACTGGGGAAATATTTCCAGTTGTACCTGTATAGTTACATCAATGTAATCACCTATGTGAACGCTCTTATTCTGATATGAGTGACTTATTTTTAGTTTAGCTTAAACCCTTCCCAAGAGACATAAATTAAACCAGAAGAAGGAACTCTTATTCTAGAATAAGAGGGTCCACACTGGAGGGGAGAGGAATGTGTGTTATACAGGCATAACTATATTAATTTAAATTCACATTTTAGGTTAAAAATACGTTCCAATGTAGACAAGGCCTTAGTTTAGGGGACAGTTTGGGTTACTATTAGCATTTCTCATAGTTGTTGTGATTGATGCTATTACTTCAGCCATTTCTGGAGTAGCAGCCTATCCTCTTTAATTGGAAGATGCGGTTATTGTTACCAGAGGGAAGAAAGAGTGGTTAGAAATAATTGGGGATAGGAGAGTATTTGCTTGCAGGACTCCACTAAAGAGCGTGAATTTGAGGCGAGGAATATATCTAATTTGTACTTTGGTCACTTCATAAATAAAATAGCTCAAGCTTAAGGGTATTACAATTTAATTATATAAGGTATATTTTCATTCTGACTGTATTTTGCCTTCTATGACTTGGATTGAGTAAGTAGCCCATATGTCATAGCAATATTAGTAATCCGGTCTAGCAGAATTCGGAGTCTCACTGATAACTGCTGTATTTAGGTCTTCCAAAACCATTAATAATAGGAAGAGGCTAGGTATATAGTAATGCTGAAAAATTAAATCACTGAGTAGTTTATATTCACCAAGTTGTTCAAACACTTTTTTCTCCCAGCTGCCTCATAAGAGAAGTGAAACTGAACAATCTCAGTCTCTGCTACAGTGAGTATAATAAGCACTGGATAAATTCCATTCAGGCAAACAGTAATTTCCCAGCAAAAAGTTTCCCTTGTAGCCTTATTTGGATGGGATATTTTTTCCAGCCTTGAACAATAAAATAATTTTACTGGTTGCTAATAAGCAGTTGTGTTTAATGCCAGAGATCACTTTATATCAGTGATGGATGAAATCATTTTTGTGTCCATTCATATATATATATTAGTATGTAGTAGTTAGGATATATAACTGGGCATAACTGGAAAATAATAAAGGAAAATTTAGGTTGTCAGAAAAAACGTCCTGACACTGAGATTTATTTAGTAGAATGGCTTATGCCATGGAATAATTGTGGAAGCACCTTGGAACATTTAACACTAGACAACATAAAATCCTAAAACCCGGTAGAGAATAATCCGTGTTGGGAAGAAAAGAGGCTGGATGATCTAATACAGTGATACTCAGCCCTGGTCTACACTAGGACTTTAGGTCGAATTTAGCAGCGTTAAATCGATGTAAACCTGCACCCGTCCACACAATGAAGCCCTTTATTTGGACTTAAAGGGCTCTTAAAATCGATTTCCTTACTCCACCCCTGACAAGTGGATTAGCGCTTAAATCGACGTTGCCGGCTCGAATTTGGGGTACCGTGGACACAATTCGATGGTATTGGCCTCCGGGAGCTATCCCAGAGTGCTCCATTATAACCGCTCTGGACAGCACTCTCAACTCAGATGCACTGGCCAGGTAGACAGGAAAAGAACCACGAACTTTTGAATCTCATTTCCTGTTTGGCCAGCGTGGCAAGCTGCAGGTGACCATGCAGAGCTCATCAGCACAGGTGACCATGATGGAGTCCCAGAATCGCAAAAGAGCTCCAGCATGGACCGAACGGGAGGTACGGGATCTGATCGCTGTTTGGGGAGAGGAATCCGTGCTATCAGAACTCCGTTCCAGTTTTCGAAATGCCAAAACCTTTGTGAAAATCTCCCAGGGCATGAAGGACAGAGGCCATAACAGGGACCCGAAGCAGTGCCGCGTGAAACTGAAGGAGCTGAGGCAAGCCTACCAGAAAACCAGAGAGGCGAACAGCCGCTCTGGGTCAGAGCCCCAAACATGCCGCTTCTATGATGAGCTGCATGCCATTTTAGGGGGTTCAGCCACCACTACCCCAGCCGTGTTGTTTGACTCCTTCAATGGAGATGGAGGCAATATGGAAGCAGGTTTTGGGGACGAAGAAGATGATGATGAGGAGGAGGAGGTTGTAGATAGCTCACAGCAAGCAAGCGGAGAAACCGGTTTTCCCGACAGCCAGGAACTGTTTCTCACCCTAGACCTGGAGCCAGTACCCACCGAACCCACCCAAGGCTGCCTCCTGGACCCAGCAGGCGGAGAAGGGACCTCTGGTGAGTGTACCTTTTAAAATACTATACATGGTTTAAAAGCAAGCATGTGAAAGGATTACTTTGCCCTGGCATTTGCGGTTCTCCTAGATGTAGTCCTAAAGCCTTTGCAAAAGGTTTCTGGGGAGGGCAGCCTTATTGCGTCCTTCATGGTAGGACACTTTACCACTCCAGGCCAGTAACACGTACTCGGGAATCATTGTAGAACAAAGCATTGCAGTGTATGTTTGCTGGCATTCAAACAACATCCGTTCTTTATCTCTCTGTGTTATCCTCAGGAGAGTGAGATCTAATTCATGGTCACCTGGTTGAAATAGAGTGCTTTTCTTCAGGGGACACTCAGAGGAGCCCATTCCTGCTGGGCTGTTTGCCTGTGGCTAAACAGAAATGTTCCCCGCTGTTAGCCACAGGGAGGGGGGAAGGTTGAGGGGGTAGTCACGCGGTGGGAGGAGGCAAAATGCGACCTTGTAACGAAAGCACATGTGCTATGTATGTAATGTTAACAGCAAGGTTTACCCTGAAAGAGTGTAGCCACTGTTTTATAAAATGTGTCTTTTTAAATACCGCTGTCCCTTTTTTTTTCTCCACCAGCTGCATGTGTTTCAATGATCACAGGATCTTCTCGCGATGAAATATTCTCCGAGCTCATGCTGTCCTCCCACACTGACAGAGCACAGACGAATGCGTGGAGGCAAATAATGTCAGAGTGCAGGAAAGCACAAAATGACCGGGAGGAGAGGTGGCGGGCTGAAGAGAGTAAGTGGCGGGCTGAAGAGAGTAAGTGGCGGGCTGAAGACAGGGCTGAAGCTCAAATGTGGCGGCAGCGTGATGAGAGGAGGCAGGATTCAATGCTGAGGCTGCTGCAGGACCAAACCAGTATGCTCCAGCGTATGGTTGAGCTGCAGCAAAGGCAGCTGGAGCACAGACTGCTACTGCAGCCCCTCTGTAACCAACCGCCCTCCTCCCCAAGTTCCATAGCCTCCACACCCAGACGCCCAAGAACGCAGTGGGGGGGCCTCCGGCCAACCAGCCACTCCACCACAGAGGATTGCCCAAAAAAAAGAAGGCTGTCATTCAATAAATTTTAAAGTTGTAAACTTTTAAAGTGCTGTGCTTAAAGTGCTGTGTGGCATTTTCCTTCCCTCCTCCACCACCCCTCCTGGGCTACCTTGGTAGTCATCCCCCTATTTGTGTGATGAATGAATAAAGAATGCATGAATGTGAAGCAACAATGACTTTATTGCCTCTGCAAGCGGTGATTGAAGGGAGGAGGGGCGGGTGGTTAGCTTACAGGGAAGTAGAGTGAACCAAGGGGCAGGGGGTTTCATCAAGGAGAAACAAACAGAACTTTCACACCGTAGCCTGGCCAGTCATGAAACTGGTTTTCAAAGCTTCTCTGATGCGTACCGCGCCCTCCTGTGCTCTTCTAACCGCCCTGGTGTCTGGCTGCGCGTAACCAGCAGCCAGGCGATTTGCCTCAACCTCCCACCCCGCCATAAACGTCTCCCCCTTACTCTCACAGATATTGTGGAGCACACAGCAAGCAGTAATAACAGTGGGAATATTGGTTTCGCTGAGGTCTAAGCGAGTCAGTAAACTGCGCCAGCGCGCCTTTAAACGTCCAAATGCACATTCTACCACCATTCTGCACTTGCTCAGCCTGTAGTTGAACAGCTCCTGACTACTGTCCCCACCACAGTTAGGGAATCCCATTGCAGCAAAGCCATCCACTATGACCTGCACATTTCCCAGGGTCACTACCCTTGATATCAGCAGATCTTTGATTGCGTGGGCTACTTGCATCACAGCAGCCCCCACAGTAGATTTGCCCACTCCAAATTGATTCCCAACTGACCGGTAGCTGTCTGGCATTGCAAGCTTCCACAGGGCTATCGCCACTCGCTTCTCAACTGTGAGGGCTGCTCTCATCTTGGTATTCATGCGCCTCAGGGCAGAGGAAAGCAAGTCACAAAGTTCCATGAAAGTGCCCTTACGCATGCGAAAGTTTCGCAGCCACTGGGAATCGTCCCACACCTGCAACACTATGCGGTCCCACCAGTCTGTGCTTGTTTCCCGAGCCCAGAATCGGCGTTCCACCGCATGAACCTGCCCCATTAGCACCATGATGCATGCATTGGCAGGGCCCATGCTTTCAGAGAAATCTGTGTCCATGTCCTGATCACTCACGTGACCGCGCTGACGTCGCCTCCTCGCCCGGTATCGCTTTGCCAGGTTCTGGTGCTGCATATACTGCTGGATAATGCGTGTGGTGTTTAATGTGCTCCTAATTGCCAAAGTGAGCTGAGCGGCCTCCATGCTTGCCTTGGTATGGCGTCCGCACAGAAAAAAGGCGCGGAACGATTGTCTGCCGTTGCTCTGACGGAGGGAGGGGCGACTGAGGACACGGCTTACAGGGTTGGCTTCAGGGAGCTAAAATCAACAAAGGGGGTGCCTGTACATCAAGGAGTATTTCAGGCAGGACTTCACGGAGGGTTCCAATAAGAAATGGTGCACCTAAGTTATCGTTCTTATTGGAACAACGAGGTTAGCCTGGCCTCTGATTGATACATGGCTAGATTTACCTCGCTGCACCTTCTCTGTGAGTGACTGCAGTGTGATCTAGAGGAATGAGTCCCCTAGACAGGGGAGGAGGCAAATGAGTACAAAACAAATCTGGTCTATTTCTTGTTTTGACCCACTCCATCTATCTTTTACATCTTTGGCTGGCAGCAGACGGTGCAGAAGGACTGCATGCCATCCACATCTCATGGCTGCTCGGCAGAAGATGGTACAGTACGACTGCTAGCCATCCTCATCTCTTGCCTGCCTGGCAGAAGATGGTACAATACTACTGCTAGCAATCCTCATCTCTTGCCTGCCTGGCAGAAGATGGTACAGTACGACTGCTAGCAGTCCGTATCGCCTGCCCGCTCACCATAAGACGGTTCAATAGGACTGACTGCAGGACTAAAGAGAATGACCTGGTCAAGTCACTCCAAATTTAGTCCCTGCGCCCATGTCTGCCCAGGCGCTCCCAGCCGACGTGGCCAGGAGCACCTCGGACATGACGATGACGGCTACCAGTCGTACTGTACCGTCTGCTGCCACAAGGCAAGGGGTTGCTGCTACTGTGTAGCAATGCCGTACCACGTCTGCCAGCACCCAGGAGACATAGGGTGACGGTTACCTGAGCGGGCTCCATGCTTGCAGTGGTATGGCATCTGCACAGGTAACTCAGGAAAAAAGGCGCGAAATGATTGTCTGCCCTTGCTTTCACGGAGGGAGGGAGGGAACGGGGGCCTGACGATATGTACCCAGAACCACCCGCGACAATGTTTTAGCCCCATCAGGCATTGGGATCTCAACCCAGAATTCCAATGGGCAGCGGAGACTGCGGGAACTGTGGGATAGCTACCCACAGTGCAACGCTCCGGAAGTCGACTTTAGCCTCGGTACTGTGGAAGCGCTCCACCGAGTTAATGCACTTAATGCACTTAGAGCATTTTCTGTGGGGACACACACACTCGAATATATAAAACCGATTTCTAAAAAACCGACTTCTATAAATTCGACCTTATTCCGTAGTGTAGACATACCCTCAGT